AAAGGTTCCCCCTACCCCTTCCTTACAAAAGAAAAGTGAAACAAAAGTAGAAAGGCACCAATTTCTTACAGAAAGAAGAAGAAGGCAAAGAGGTGAAAAAGGTAAGGAAGGCATGGAGCAGAAGCCTGGAGCCAAACTAAAAGAAAGAAAAAAGATCACACTAGGGAGAAAGAACATATTTTTAAAAGTGAGCTCATTCAGCCATAGGTTAATTTCCTTGGGGAGGAGATGGCATAGCACCAGTGCTGGATGGATTCCAGAGAAAGTTAAAAATTGTGTCCAAACTCTGCCCTCAGAGGACTGCCAAGGGCACTGACTGGATGCATTTGGAGCTCCACATGTGTATCCATGAGGAAATGTTGACCTTTCATGGTGGGTGCGGCGGGGGGGGGCGGGGCGGGGAGCTCCAGAACTTTCTGCTTTCCATTTGGGCAACTGCGGTTAGCCCTTTTATAATTTTAAAATCTAATCTATGCATTGTATTTAAAAGCCTCATTATGATGAAGGCATTTGAAAAGGACATAGTCAACCTGTTCAGACAAGCCACTGATGCACAAAACCAGCAGCATTTTTCCGAAATGCAAGAGTTTGCCACTCTTCACAGTGGTGGGGGGACTTTTTTTCAACTTGAAGGCCACATTCCCTCCTGGGCAGCCTTTTAGGGGCTGCATGCCAGTGGCAGGCAGTGGCAGAGTCAAAAGTGGGTGGAGAAATGGATATACATATTACTTTCGTACATTAGGCTGGATTCTACACACACTGAAAAATATATCTATCCCTCATCCAGGCAAGCAAGAGCCATTATAAGAGTTCAGGGACACATTTTAGCCAGGCAAAAACACTCAAGGACGGTATGAAGCAAGGCTGGAGAAGGGTGTGTGGCCTGAGGAGAGTCCCGAGGGCCAAATAAATAGTCTTGTCAGGCTGTGTTCAGCCCCCAGGCCTGAGGTTCTCCACCCCTGAAATAACTGAGCTGCCATCACAACTTGTTCCCAAACCAGCTGCAGCTTACAGTATCTTACACACCTCAATTAAAATGAGAAACACAGACTGCTGGTGATAAAAAAGAAGTAAATATAAACCAATGCTTCCCACTCCAATTGTATCTAAAATAAACCTTTTTGTAAACCTGATTCCTTTTCTTGTTATTATTTGTAACTCTTCAGAGAGGGTGTAATGGGGCGGGGGGAGGGGGAGCTAAGGTTGACACAATGGAGGGCAGACTAATCAAATCAAAATAGTCACAAATCACCAGCTTTAGGTTGCTAAATTTGGTTTCACACTTAAAGTATTACTTTCATTAAATTCCTCCCACACCCACACACGCCCAGTGGGAGATGCAATCAGCCGGCCAACTCTCATCCTTTCCGCTCTAAAGGGAGAAATTCTAATAGGCTCAGACCTGCTTAGATGGGAATGACTTCAAGGAACTGCCAGCCAATTGCATTTAAAATTGGAAAGAGCCACAAACCACGTACTTTTTCTGATGTTTTCTATTCCTCTTCCTACAATGTGCTTCTCCCTCCCCTTAAACAAAACACTATGTGTATGTGTTTATACAACCTATTATTTTCTGATTCCTCTACTTAGCCAAATTATTTTCAAAGTTATCCACCTGACATTTCATTTTAAATAGAAAAGAGGCGTAGGAGGTGTGTGTGTTCTTTTCCCCCTGGTAGTTGTTCCAATTTTTCTTTTTTTAAAAAATCTTACTTAAAAACATCTAGATTATCTCCTCCATTAAAATAAAAACCAGTGCGTGCTGAAATTCTACATTTTCAGTATGAATGTCTCCCACCACCTGAATTAAACCTGAAGTCTTTATCAAGAGCAATAAAAGCACTATTGGTTTTATAGAAATCTGGAGAGTATGGCCAAAAATTCTCTTAAAGAAGGAGTAAGAAGAAACCAAAGCCTTCTGGCAGGGTATCTGGTCCAGACTTCAGGGCTTTGCACCCAATCCAGCCGTATCCTGGACTCTGAACTGCACTAGGTTGACCCAGGATTTGATCAAATCAGGTTGAGGCAACCCTTGGTTGCCAGAGATCAGATGTAGCCCAGCGGGTGCTTGACTAGATGGGTTTTTATGAAAGAGCATAAGATGAGCCTTTACATAAGAAGTGCCCTGCTGGATCAGGTCAAAGTGATAGTTCCGCCTTTGCTATTAGCTACCTTCAAAGTTATTTTATTGGTTAAATTACTGTAATGTGCCTGGCTGCCTTTCTAGGCTGTTTGGAAGCTGCAGTTAATTCAGAATGTGGCAGCTAGACTTCTAACGGGCTGAGTATCATGCCAGACTGTTGCCAGTTGCCATGTGTTTCTGAGTCCAATTAACTATTGTTGTGTGTGTTGTTGGTTTTTCCCCCTTTTGGGTAAGCCACCCTTGGAGTTTCTGGTGCAGAGTGGCATAGGGGACCTCCATGTCAGAACATCTACTTTGAACACAGAAGGTCCCAGGTTCAGTTCCCGGCATCCTCTGGCAGGCCTGGGCACTCTCCCATCTGAAACCCCAGAGAGCTGGCTGTCATGTTAAGAGCTGCTGCAAGCAAAATCCCTGATTTGGGCATTGTGTTGGGTTGAAAAGAATTTGCTATCCACCACAAAGAATGAACTTCATGATTTACTGCAGAACAACCTTGAACTAGTTACAAATAAACATTACAAAGATACACATTGCACTTAAACAAACCAGCCGTGTGGTCCAGTCTTCTTTTTTGTCCTTAATACAGTTCAGTAAACGTTCCTTTCTCTAGTATGCAAGTTTCTTGCTCATAATTACAGCGCTTAGCCACTACTACTGCTACTGCTACTGCTGCTGGCTCCATCAACAGACAAAGAAGCTGAGCTCTCAGGTTTCACCTTCCTGCTAGGGCTGCCGTATTTCAAAAAGTTAAAACCAGGACACCCCAAAGGTTGTTGAGCTTTCCTCACCCTAAATTTCAGTGCGTATAAACATTTTCATTTTATGCATATTAAATATGTATCTTTAACATGCCAGTCAGTGGTCTGTCTCAGTACAAGGCAACTTCCTATGCTCCATATCAATAAACAAAATAATAGGTTTTTAAATAACAAAATAAGTAAAACTGATACGGTATTTTCAGGCTCCGGTGCTACACTCAGCTCTGTTAAATATCAACTCAAAGCAAAAAAGATGGGAAAGAAAATAAGGTCGCACACCTTTTATTTATGGATGTCATCAAATTATTTTGCTGAATCTCCAGCTCAACCCGGAAGCCTTATAATGCTGAAAAAGAGAAAAGAAACAGCAAAGATATAAAAATGTTCAACTATCCACATAATAGCCTTGAAAAATGTTCAGCTCTAAACATAATTGAAAGTTAAAAGTGAGGTTCTTCAGCAAGTAACACCTGTAAACATAAATAGCTTGTTTGGAAGTTCACGTACACAGATGTGGAAATCAGTTCTTTTATTTAAAAAATCCCACTCAGATTTAAAATCCTCTTCCATCTCTTAAAGTCCTGAAAATCAGGCTTACGGCTAAGAATAAAACAATGGTACTAAATGCCTAGGCAGTTCCAGCTCTGACTTACTCCATGGGTATAATTAAGAGACCTGATGCAGCTATAAATGTGTTTGCTAGATTAACCCACACACTTGTAAGAAAGTTCAGAATTCAGCACCTAAATACCACATTGAATAGGAAATGCATCCCAAGTTGAAGAGGTAAACATATATGCATTCTTCAAAAGTTGTATATCCAAACTCTGTAACTACTTCAGGCTATCTGATCATCCAGTTGTAAAAGCAGTGGTCAAGGCTGGCCAACACGTCAGTCCCCTGAACCTCAGTAATGAATGCTTCCTGTCTGCTCCAGTAAATAAAACTGGAGAGCCCATACAGACTAGTCTAGATTAAATGAAATCATTTTCATCCTCTTTTTCTGCCTCAAGGACACACAATGCTCTTTTAAATTGTGGTGGTTTTTTTGAGGGGGTTATTGGGTTGTTGCTGCTTTTATTTTGATTATGTATTTTGTGGTTTTATATTTTTATTTCATTCTGTGAAACTTCCTGAGACCTGCGGGTATAGGGCGGGTGGGACCCGGGTGGCGCTGTGGGTAAAACCTCAGCGCCTAGGACTTGCCGATCGCATGGTCGGCGGTTCGAATCCCCGCGGCGGGGTGCACTCCCGTCGTTCGGTTCCAGCGCCTGCCAACCTAGCAGTTCGAAAGCACCCCCGGGTGCAAGTAGATAAATAGGGACCGCTTACCAGCGGGAAGGTAAACAGCGTTCTGTGTGCTGCGCTGGCTCGCCAGATGCAGCTTGTCACACTGGCCACGTGACCCGGAAGTGTCTGCGGCCAGCGCTGGCTCCTGGCCTATAGAGTGAGATGAGCGCACAACCCTAGCGTCTGGCAAGACTGGCCCGTACGGGCAGGGGTACCTTTACCTTTTTATTTTGTGGTTTTATATTTTTATTTTATTCTGTGAAACTTCCTGAGACCTGCAGGTATAGGGCAGTATATAAATTCAATAAATAAATATAAATAAACAAATAAATAAATTTAAAAATGAAAATGAAATAAAGCTATGAGGACATAAGTAAAACATAATCATGACCAAAGCAAAACTTTGTGGCCTAAAGAAAACCCCACCCTTAGACCAAAGTCACACAGAAACACAATTGTTCTCTATAAGTGTCTAAAAAGAGATGGGGGCCCAATAACTCTCCAAGGACAGTGGATTCTAGAATTATGGTGCCACCAGCGAAAAGGTCCCACCACAGGCACTCACACATTTGATCTCACATAAGAGTAGGACCACAAGCAATGCCTCAGATAGCTTAACTGGTGGGTGGGTAGGCTCATAAGGGGACAGGAGATACCATAGGTAACCTGGTCCCAAGCCATGTCCACATAGGAACACAAGCAGCTGCCTTATAATGAGTCAGACCATTGGTCCATATAACTCTGTGTTGTCTTCTCTTACTGGGAGGAGGTTTCCTGGACTTCAGACTTGAGATTTCCCCAGCTCTCCATGGAGATGCCACAGGTTGAACCTGGGACCTTCTGCGTGCAAAGAAGATGCTCTACCACTGAGCTATGGTATTTCCCCATGAAGAAGCATGGGTGGAAGCCCATTGCACAAATGGCACAGGAAGGAATAGAAGTCTTGGGCAGCTCTAGAGAAGAGCTAGAGAAGCTTTGGGCCAGGGTAAGGCAATGAATCCAGGCTGCTTGTCTTCCTTCCTTCCTTCCTGCACTGCAATGAACAGACTAACAGCAAAACCACCCCAAGCTTGAATGGGCTCCATATTTGTTCCTTCTCCAAAGAGTTTAAAATGTAAGTCAGGGGTAGCTGTTGGGGTTCAACTGACCATTACCCATACTGGTAGGCTTATAGGGAATGAAGTCCTACAGCATCCAGGGGGGTCATAGGTAGGCAACCCCTAATCTAAATTTAGACAGTGGATGGTAGAAGAGAAAGACCAGGGAAGGATGGGAGAGAAGAAGGAATTGATTGCTGCTGACAAATGCAGTTGCATGGATTTAGTTATGGCTACAGATGAGGACTGTGGGACTACATTAACTGAATATGAAATTCCATTGCTCCTACCAAAGACACCCTGTTAACAACATCGCCTGCAGTTGATGTACAGTAATGTAACACTGTGTCAGGTTCCCTGACACGTTTTAAATTAAAATGAAGCAGATAGTTGCTTTGCATAGCAAACCCGACTCTGTTAACAAGCCACATATTGCTCCTGAAACCCAATTGTGTTTTTTTTTTTACAAAAAGCAGCCGTGACATTAATTCAAAGTGATTTGTAGGTACAGATGGGCACCTATGTAGATGCTAAGTGAGATAGACGTTGACCTTCCAACATCTCCATCAGATGTAAGCTGCTAACAAACCCACATGGGGTTCAGACATCTTAGGACACACTGATACCGTATGCAGATGTAACTGCACAGATTGTGCCGTGCTCATTCCAATTCAAAACCCAAATTAATTATCACAAATAACACATAAACATACATACCAATTACAAATTGACTAGATTCTTCTCCCAGCTGACGGTGTTGGGTACAGGAAGTAGCCTTAATACGTACTCCTTCGCCCTGCGCCCTAATCATCCACTAGGGATGGGGAGGAATTCAAGTCAGTTTGCATTTAAAGATGATCCTACTTAATGTGCCCTTTCTGAAGCAATATATGAACTGAAACACATTGAACCTTCAACATCTGCACTTCTCTGAATTTAGAAATGCAGTAATGTATACAAAAAAATGCATGTATTGGGCTGAAATGTGTATTAAAATACATGTCAGTGAAAATAAACACAGTAAAATAAACGCAGTAAAAATGTGTTCCAGTAGGGAAATGTGTATTATAATGCTTTAATCATATGTGGTATAATATGCTTTTGAGACCTGTTTTTTTGCTTGCTTGTTTTTGGCTATAACTTGTATCTGGCTCACCAATTAAATTTGATGATGATGATGATGACAATGACAATGATGGCTAGGGAAAATTGCTTTGCAAAAATGTGTACATGGGGAGAAATTTATACTGAAATGCTGCTCCACTTTCATGACGACATTGTTTTTTAAAAAATCACAAATTGATGCATAATTGTGATGCATGAGAATCTAAGAAAAAACAAAATTGACAATAAGTGGGGAAATGAGAGAGGTTTATAAAATTGTGTCTATTTAAAAAAACAATAAAAGATTAATTGTGAGAACTGCAGTTTTTCTCTCTCCCTTATTATTAAAACTTGTAGTCATTCAGTGAAAATGCTTGGCAGTAGATTCAGGACTACTGAAACTTCAGGTACAGGTTTCAGCTTCAGGAACGACATCTTCGCAAAACAGTTGTAGAAGTCACTTCAGTAAGATATGGTTAGTTAGATGGCTTTCAAATGGTTAGTTAGATGACTTTCAAATGAGGTTAGACAGATGCATGGGGGGAATCTATTGATGACTGCTAGTTGTGATAGCTAGGAGGGACGCGGGTGGTGCTGTGGTCTAAACCACTGAGCCTAGGGTTTGCTGATCAGAAGGTCGGTGGTTCGATTCCCCGCGACGGGGTGAGCGCCTGTTCCTCAGTCCCAGCTCCCGCCAACCTAGCAGTTCGAAAGCACGTCAAAGTGCAAGTAGATAAATAGGTACCGCTCCGGCGAGAAGGTAAACAGCGTTTCTGTGCATAGCTCTGGTTCGCCAGAAGCGGCTTAGTCATGCTGGCCACATAACCTGGAAGCTGTACGCCAGCTCCCTCGGCCAGTGAAGTGAGATGAGCGTCACAACCCCAGAGTCATCTGTGACTGGACCTAACAGTCAAGGGTCCCTTTACCTTTACCTTTTAGTTGTGATAGCTATTTGTAACCCCCAGGTCCAGAGGCAGTATGCTAATGAATACTAGGGGTGTGCAAAAGTGTTGAACAAATTATGAAACAAGAAATGAAGCAGAGCTTCTTTGGACAACTTCAGAGCTTATTCAAGACAAAGGGAACTCAAAAGCAATATGAGGCACTACAGAGATTCTAATACAGTGGTACCTCGGGTTATATACGCTTCAGGTTACATACGCTTCAGGTTACAAACTCCGCTAACCCAGAAATAGTGCTTCAGGTTAAGAACTTTGCTTCAGGATGAGAACAGAAATCGAGCTCTGGTGGCGCAGCAGCAGCAGGAGGCCCCATTAGCTAAAGTGGTGCTTCAGGTTAAGAACAGTTTCAGGTTAAGTACGGACCTCCGGAACGAACTAAGTACTTAACCCGAGGTACCACTGTATTTAAAAAATGCTGCAGAGAGTGCACCTGCAAAAACAAAAAGCATTTCTTCCCAGGATTGCCATATAAGGAAAATGTACCAGTGGTGGAAAGCAGGAGGGAAAGATCTTTTAGGGCTGACAGGTCCAGCTTTCAGTCAGAGGGATGATTTTTACCAGAACTCTCCAATCACAGTGCTTTGGGGAAGAAATGGTAAAGTATCACTTTGTTCTTGTCTGTTTTGTGCTCTGCTAGTGGTGCTTGCTTAGGAAATGTTAGACAATCAAGTCTTTTGGCCTCTGTGCCGCATGCCCACACATTAAAATCAGAGCCACACTTGGTTTCTAGGATGCTTGGTGTCAGTTGAGCACAACACAAGCTCAAAAGTGTTCCCCTGCCACTCATCAAGATCCTGCCCCATCATTCTGATGTTTTCCACCTCTAAATGGCAAGACAGACCTATTTTCAAATCATGGAGATCTCAGCTTGTACTTCAAACTGAATGAGTACTGATGGTTCTAGGTTCATCCTGCTCCCTCCTGACCCATTTCCTCCCCATCCTTCAAATACCCCCCAGTGCTTTGCAGATGCAGACTTCACAAATAGCTATGACTGAGTTATGACTAATTCACTGCACATAGTGTTGAAAATCTACCCTAGAGCTACGAAATAATAATAAAACCCATGTATAATTGAGAAAGGGTTTAATCACTGAGATGCAAGAATCCACACCATTTAGAAGCTATAAAATTGTTTGTTTGTTTGTTTGTTTGTAACTTGTGACATGGGGGAACAAAACAGAATCCCCAGTTGGGCAATACTTTTATCAGAAGCAACCAAAATGCTTCTGAATACCAGTTGCTGGAAACCAGAGGAGGGGGGTGCTGTTGCACTCAGGTCCTGCTTGTGAGCATCTGGTTGGTCACTGTAAAGACAGGACTAGACTAGATGGACCACTAACCTGAGCCAGCCGGCTCTTCATACAGGAAAGCCAGTGTGGTATAGTGGTTAAAGCATTGGACTAAGACCTAGGAGACAAGAGTTCTAGGCCCTGCACAGCCATGAAGCTCACTGGGGGACCATGGACCAGGCACTGTATCTCAGCCTAACCTACCTCAGAGGGTCAAATGGTTGATATCCATCTGTCTTAGGAGATAGTGCAAGAATGCATCTTTGGAGGTGAAGTCAAACTGTTTGAGAGTTGCAGGACCTGCTGTGGCTGTAGAGGCTGATGTGGGAGATAGATGTTTTGTTGCAGAACAGAGTGCTATGTTTTATGTAGTACCCCTTCGTCAAAGGTTGGGGACCTTTTCCAACCTGAGGGCGACATTCCATTCTGGGCAATCTTCCTGAGGACCACATGCCAGTGGTGGATGGGGCCAGATGCAAAATTGGCAAGTAACAGATGTTTTTTCCTACCTTTGTACACTAGGCTACTTTCTACACTCACATACCTCTCTTATATCCTCCATCCGGACAAGCAAGAGGTATTACCAGAGTTCAAGGACACGTTGTAGCCAGACAAAGCAAGGCAAGTGAAGGGTGGGACTTGGGAAAGTGTGTGTGGCCTCATGAGAGCTCCAAGGGTCAGACAGAGACCTGGAAGGCCACAGTTGACCCCCCCACCCCCACCCCCAGGACTGAGGTTCTCATCAGGGCATACTGGTGAATGCCTCTGATGTCAAAATAAGATCTGACTGCTAGTATGGTTGTCTTCGATTTGTGGTTTGGGGGAGGCACTTCTCCTTTACCTCATACAACAAAGTACCTTGAGCAAGACCTGCTGTTTTCCATTTGGTAACTATTCAACAGTAATTAGTCAGCAATGTTTCTGAGATGCCCACATGGCTCCAAAAAGAGGGGGGGAGCAAAACAGGAGGAAAGAACACAGCCAACGCCGTTTCTCATTTTTTATCTCTGCTAATAACAATAAAGCGGAACAACCCAGGGATGCTTAAAAGGATAATATTTGCTTTTCAATTACCATACTGACTGAAGCTGCAGAAGTCACTTCACAACACTGGGTGCTCCCAATATTGTCTCTCCAAATACCCACTTGTCGAGGCAGTGGCCTCTTTCTGCATCGTGATGCTTAGAAAACAGAAACTGTAATTAAAACATTTATTAAGCCAAACAGATCCCTGCCTCCCCAGTGTAGGGCTAGGAGGAAAAGGTGCAGCCTTGCTTTAAGGAGCAGAACAGCCTCAGGCAGGAGGTTTTATGAGGGTGGTGTGTGTGCTTGGGCGACTGAAGAAATGAAGTATGCACGGCACAGTAACCTCACTCCCATGCTGGTGCCTCCCTCCGGCTTCATTTATTTTATAATGTACTAAGTGAAG